CCGATTTACCTAACTACACTGACTACCTAACTTTAAATCTGGCTTCAGAGTCACTCTACCAGCTTGGTCCTTGGACTTTACATTAATTGAGCCAGTAAATTCCCTTTGACCTTTAACCTAATTTGAGTTGCATTTCTATCACTAAACTCAAAGATTGCTGACTAGTGCATGAGATAAAGATTCAAACCAAAGTAGTTTCTGCTGGTAGGATTTCAGTGTAAAAGACAATCAGTGTTCACTTAAATTAGTCTCCACAATTGCCTGTGGAGCACATTTACAGTACAACTATTTTAGAAACAATATATGGGATTTTAGTTGTTATATCCCAAAGATACTTAAAAAAAAAAGTGCAAGGAAAAACAAAACCAAAACAACCCTATCATCACCAAGGGAAATCTATATCCTCCACCCTGAGGCAATATATTGGCTCTTTGGTAATTTGTGGGGGAAGGGGTCACATTTAAAGTAGGACTTACTTAAGTTAGATTGTCATCTGAATACAAATTTGGGGTCAACCACATCTTAGAATTTTTCCACTGCTCATCCCCTAATTAGGTCCAGCACTGTACCATCACTAAGAACACTAGTCTTTTAGAACTGCTTTCCTTTTTATTCTCTTCCCTTTTCTTTTTCCCATTCTTCTATTTATAGTTTTTCTACTACACATACCTAAGAATCCAACAGACATTTACATTTTTTTCTACTAAAATGCAGGTTCCGTAGGGAGTGGTGAGAAGGGAGTGGTGTGAAGGGAATGCCAAGCTCACATGACATATTAGTTCCTTACTTCAGTCACTCACAGAAGCTGCCTGTTTGCCATGGCAAAACAGAAGGCAGCAATTCAAAGGCTGTATCTCCTAAGTCCAGTGGGAGTGCTCCCCCACCTCAGTGGCTCAATGGAGTCATTTTCTGTTTAAGAAGCCAATCATAATTCAAGTGTTTGACATTCCATGAACTACATCTTCTAAAGCCATAAGGGCTGATTGTGACTTTTTGATTTTTGTCACTTCACCAATAGAAAGGCAGATATATATTAAGATCTGGAAGGAAATATCAGAGGCTTTAGCAACCAATTAATATGTCTCACCACCATTTCTTACAAAGCTTATTTCTCTGGTCACAAAACATGATTTTTTTAACAGACCAAAAAAAAAAAAAAAAAGCCAATTTCCAGAAGTTAAATTGGTGCCAAATGCTTCATTGGAAATAAAAGTACAAAAAAGTAAAAGTACAAACACATACAATTTAAAAATATTTAGAGATCAAAAGTATGATATATACAAGCAACTCCCTACACTTCATTAGGAGTTATTTTGTTGAACAGGTAAATTTTTCTCCTCATATTCTTTTCAGGAAAAAAAAAATTGCTATAGTTTCTGCATTTCTGTCAAAGTTTGTCATATACTGATGTAAAGGAACAACGACCATCTTGAATGTTGTGTAGAATTATTCACCTCATTCAATTAAGGGTCTACTGAATGCAATAAAACTACAAAATCCATTATCCCTGATGACAATGAAAAAACAAGCCTTACAATTCATAACCATGAAAAAAAAAAAAAAATATATATATATATATATATATATACACACACATACCTAGGAAGGCTTTCTAGGAGGACTAGGAAATAAATGAAGGAAACGGATAACTCATATAAGTTGGATAAAAAGACCACAGTAGGTAACAGTTTCACGGCCTAGTTGCTTGAGCTTGCTTGGTCACTTTCAGTGAGTGTCGTTTCCTCTATTACTTCAGATGGCTCCAGCAGTCTAAAGCTTTCATGTAGGGCTGGAAGGGACCTGAGCATATTATACATCCGAACTCGTAATCTCAGTGACGGCAGGGACTTCACTCTCCCAACTGATGACGACAGTGACTTCCACACTTTGGAAGCTTCACTCTGGAAGATTTTTGTTCTAACAGTGTAGAGGATAAAAATTTGCAATCCCTGAGGAGAGAATAAAAGTTTAATACTAGGTAAGAACTGAGGCCAAAGGGGAAAAAAAAATTGGCAGAGATTCTACTCACACAGCCACCCATCCTTTTCATCACTTGCAGCAGCTCCCCAAATTGAATTTACAGTGCTGTGTATGACCTTATCTTATATGAAGTACAGCAGGTAAGAGTGGTACATGTAGAAGACTTGAGTTCATGTCCTGGCTTGCCACTTGCTGGCTGTGCAACTTTGCTCATTTCCTAACCCCTTGCTGAAGGGGGCAGATTAACAATAGAATGCTTAACTCTAGTTCCAACATTCTGCACTTCTAGATTCTGGAGTTTTTAGCGACATAAATAGAAATTTGTTGCATTTAAGGACAAAAAAAATTTTTTTAAATCTTTCCATCCATTATTTTTCTGTACTTTGCATATAAAGACCTGATATCTCAGGAAAGACTGAGTAATATTTTCTAAACTGCCATTTATTGAAGTATATATATCAGATATTTTTTCTCATTTAAGTCTCATCATTTGAACATTCTCATTGAATCCTCATTGAACCCTATAAAATAAGTCTCACTATTCCTATGTTGCAGATAAGGAAACTAAGTTACAAAGACTCAGTTCCTATAAATTAAGTAAATTGCCCAAGATTACCTAACCAGTAATCAGTGAAGTTTGGAAGTAAATGTATCTATTTTGGGTTTCCAAATCTCTCTTCCTTCTAATTTGTGATACTGCCTCTTGCTTTTAACTATAATGGAAAGATATTATAAAAAAGTAAATTACAGTTTCTAAGAGGACTTTGTTAATTCCTAATTGACTTTGTGGAAATAACAGATTAAATAGCATCTATAGCTGAGTCAATAATATGTACCAGTGTTAGTTTCTTTCTTTTTTAAAAAAATTGCTCAATAACTTATTTATTTATTTATTTATTTTATGTGGTGCTGAGAATCAAACACAGTGCTTCACACATGCTAGGCAAGCACTCTACCATTAAGCCACAGCCACAGCGCCAGTGTTAGTTTCTTGATTTTGAAAATGTACTGTGGTTACTCAAGAAACTATCACTTGGGAAATCTGGGCAAAGAATATATGAATGATTTTTTCCAAATTCTCATATTAAACTGTTTCTAAATAAATTAAAAATAATAATCACAGATACCTCCCAGACTGTCATCTACAGTGCCCCAACCCTTATAAGATTTGTTTCTAGAATTATATCCTGTGAGTAGTGTTACAAGAGCCTTCTGTTATATGGTGAGCTAATACAAAGACTCAGAATCTACATCTGTTTTGTGGGATACAATATTTCATCTTCTTTTTCCAAATTTTAAATTCTAAGGTAAAAAAAAAAAAGGATGGTATCAAATTTGTAGTTGTATAATAGTTAGAAAAAGACCCTAAATTGTGAGAGTTCATAAAGACTTCTTCCTGTGGGATTCTCTCTGGGTAGACTCTCTAAAATTCCAAAGATGTTATTTGAAAAACCAGAATGTGTGAATCAAACTAATGACCACTTACACAAATATTAATTTGTGCCTTTTGTACTATCCAGAGCACTTAATGTTTATCAGAATTAAAGCACTGTAAATCCATAAGGAACCTAGATGTGCTTCTATAAGTGAAACAATCTACACGTGGCTCTTGGTGTGTATCTAATGGGAGCATCTACATAAGGCTAACTTAGATCCTTCTGTAGGTGAGTCACATGAAAATCTCCTGGGTTCCTCATTTAAAATTTGAAGTTTCCCAGTTCTTACTACTGTAGATTCTAATTGAGTAGGTTAGTGGTGAAGCCCTAGAATCAGCATTTTAACACACTGCATAGGTTCTGATGTAGGCAATATTCAGAACCATTTTGAGAAATATTATGTTGTTTTAACCCATGCCACCACCTTCTATTTTATATTTTACTTACCCACAGAGATTGTGTGGCTTTCCTAAAATCATACACATCATTAATGGTAAAGCTAGAAGACAGAATGTCTTTGTCAGATCACTACCCCCAAGTTTACCATGTGATATTGAAGCCAGAATTAGACAGGCAGTCAGTATAGATAGGTAAATCCAGTCAGGTCAGATCAAGGAGGCCAATTTGAGTGAGTTCAGAAAGTTGGAAAGGGATTGAAATGTTAACTCCTTCAGAGCCCTTCCTCCACCCTTATTAAGATAACCTGTCTCTACTCCAACCTGTTGCTAAGGTAACCTGTCCCAGGGATTGTTTCTCCTCATAGGGGGTTGTTAATTATGCCCCCTTCCTGCCCAGATTACTCCAACTTGGCCCCTCCAGCCCCGCTGCTTCTCACCTTTTGGCCATTCCACCTAGCATCTCCTGGGCCTAGTCACATATGGAAGAAGGAGAGAGATAAGAGGAAGAGAACAGGAGAACCAAGGAAGCCTAAGTCCTGTAAAAGAGGCAGAATGCCCCCACTTCTTGGGATACCATGACACCAGCTATGACCCCCTTCTCCCTCCTGGGAGAAGAAGTTACCCCTTTTTAAACTAACCCTGCTTTATATGCTCGCCTTGGCATGCTTCTCTCATGTTACACTTCAACATGTGAGAGAGGAGAACTCATCATCGATAACCAGTGGTATCAGTATTATCATCTTGTAATGAAACTCTTCTTTGTCATTTGCCTCTCCTATGCATGGAGAATATCTTTCTTTCAGATTTTTCCTTTAATCCCTGTTTAAGAAATGGGACCCTGGGTACACTGGCAATCTGAGACTTAGTTTTTCCCACTAGTGCCCTTCTAGGTAGTTCCCATTGGGTGTTGAGAACAGTCAGGAACTGCTTTTTATTTTCAAATTTAGTGGTAGGCACACACCTATTGTCTATGGGAGTTAGTCCAAACAGGCACTGAAGAAGGCTATTTGTGATAAAGTGCTTAGAAACAGTAAATATGGCATAGCAATTCAGAATCCAAGCAGCTCCCCTATAGTGGTGGATCAGGATTTGGGCTAAGTCAAATTTAGCTACTGCCCTTCCCAACAATTTTCATTTTGTATCAAAAAATTCCTTCCTTAATGATATTTGATCATAGCCAAAAACAAATAACATGATACCATCCTTGCACAGTAGTGATTACTGAGTAATGACTACTACTCTCAGGAAATTAATGGGATAATCATTAAACACTGCAGTTTCATCATGAAATATTAGAGAATTATGCTCCTTCCTGATGTTGAACGTATCTACATGCATGTTTCTTGCACTCAGAAAAATTATGTGCAAAAAGGTGAGACTTGTCTGTATGAGAAGATAATTTTAGAATTCAAATAGAATAAATAAATTATCTATGTGGATTCTATTAATGTCAATTTCCTTGGCATAATAATATATTATAGTTATACAAATCCAAAAATTCTAGGAACATGAAAATACTGCATTGAATTGTGTGAAGTTAACAGATAAACATTAAAATAAAAATTAATAGAAAGTAACAATAAAAGGAAGTTTTACATGCCTCAGTTTTTGTTGAGAAAGTTAATGGTGTGTTTTATGGAAGATAATTTTATAACAAAAATATTAATCACCTTTAAAAAGTATACATGTGACATAAAAATAGCGTTAGGAGGTAATACCAATAAATATCAAACTGGGAAAATTTCAGAAAATTATAGCAAATGTGGATTTTAGGAATTAAAATCCTGCTTTTCAGGGTTGGAAGCCTGTGAGATTTCAGATTTCACAATGCCAGTGGTTCAGTGATAAAGTTTGCTCACACAGATGGCCCTGTTTTAGTGTGACCACTTTAAGAGCAGGGCACATTCATTACATGGAAACATAATGAATTCCACTGGCTCAGAGATAGGACCCAATACCATAGATAGTAAAGTCCTCATAGTATTTTTCATCAGAGTTAAAAATAATATTTGCTATGGGAGGAAGCATAAAGTAAAGAGCACAAAGAGAAATTCAGATTTCAAGATGTCTTTCAAAAATGCATTCTTGTTTTATTTTAAAATTCTGGTATTCCCCATACATAAAACACAAATACAAAGGTTTTAAAAAAAGTCACTTCTCTGAGTTCAAACAAACTTATTTTTTTCTACCATTTTAGTTTATTTTTATCACCATTTTTATGATGATTAAAATCAGAAGGTGGTGACTATAAACCTTAGTCTAAATTTTCTGTTTTGTAGAATAATTTCCAAGGGGGGAAAATATATAAAAGTTTTTAGATTTCAAAGCAAAGTGTGAATGGATGTTTTACAAAAGGTTTGTGGTTAAATATATCTCTAAGACTCGAGGAATAAAAAAGCATCTTCAGTCCTATGTAAAATTATGCCATAAAACAACCTCACAGAACTCTGCTACTATCATGTCAACCCTCCTGTAAATAATTATAAACTCTGGATATAATATCTCTGAAAAGCTACTGAAGATATTGTAGGACAACCCAAAGCAATCTGAAATTGGAAAGGGAGAATATGCTTAGAAAAAGGGATCAACACTAAGTAGGTTTCCTGTTTTATGTCACTTTTTAAAAATATCTTTTAGCCTGAAGACAGACCCTATTTACCTCATTCTCAGGATGACTAAACCTGGAGTTAAAATATGCAGTCTTTCTAGGATGAAGAAACAAACGACAGGGTTTTAGGCAACTATAGCAGCTAAAAAATAGGAAATAATATCTAAGAAAGGAGTAGACAGAGAGAGGGAACTCCAAAGTCTATTTATAATCTCTTCCTAAATCTCTTCCTGAACAATGTACACATAGGAAAGACCCTAAGAAATCCAGCTAAAGCATAAAGGACTAAGCAGAGATTTAGCTATCTGGCTAAGGAGAGACCAACTTTTCAGTTTTAGCCCGAATAAGTTAATTGTCTACTAACTCCACTCTTGGTAGAAATATAATAACATGCAGATTTGTTGTAGTAAGTGATTTACAATGTGAAGGAAACAAAAAAAATTACTAGAAACTGAATAAACAGGAAAAGATTTTAAAGAAAAAAGGCAATCAATAGTGACTGAAATGACCTAGATATTAGGTTTAACAGACAAAGAATTAAAGGTACTATTATAACATGCTTAAGGATGAAAAGGAAAACATAATGACTAAAAAGTCAGAGTTAAATACTACAAAGCTATAAAAAGATCAAATTCTTAAAGTAAAAACTACAGTATCTGAAATAAAAATCACTGAATAAGCTTATCAGCAGTCTGGAACTAACTCTAGAAAGAGTCAGTGTCCTTAAAGATAGACCACTAGAATTATCCAATCTAGTGAACAGCAAGAAAAAAGAATGAGGAAATGAGCAAAGTTCAGGAAGCTGTGAAGCAACATCAAATGACTTAACAAATATAATTGGATTCCTAGAAAGAAAAGAGGAAGAGTGAGGCAGAAAAATGATTTTAAAAAATAGTGGTGAATATTTTCTCAACTCTGGTGAGAGATACAATCTAATAGATGCTGGGAGTTCAGCAATCCCAAGAAGAATAGATTTAATCAGGAGACTGAGATAGGAGGATCACAAGTTCAAATCCAGCCTCAGCAATGATGAGGCACTAAGCAACTCAGTGAGACCCTGTCTCTAAATAAAATACAAAATACGGCTGGGGATGTGGCTCAGTGGTTGAGTGTCCCTGAGTTTAATCCCTGGTACACGCCCCTCAACAGAACACACACACACACACACAACTAGAGAGATAATCCTAAAGAAACCAGAGAAAAAATATATAGGAGACCAATAATATGAACAAGTAAGAATATCTCATTAGAAAATGGAGTAGCATGTTAAATTACTTGTTCATAACACTAAAAGACTAAAAAAATCTCTAGCCTCCCAGAATTCTATATCTAATGAAAATATCCTTCAAGAATGTAAGCAAAATAAAGACATTTTTAGATTTAAGAAAAATGGAGAATTTGTCACCAGAAACCATACATAATAATGCATTCTTAAGGGATGTTTATGCTGGAGGGGAATGATACCAGAGGGAAAGTCACATCTTCAGAAAGGAAGGAAGAACATGGGAAACAATAGATATGTATAAAAGCACTTTTCCCTCTTTAATTTCCTTAAAATATGCATCTGATTAAAGCAAAAATAATAACATTTCTTTGTGGCATTTATAATTTATACAGATAGAATACATGAGAAAACTATAACAAAGGAAAGGGAGGAAGAAAAGCAGAATTATATTATTACAACATTCTTATATTTTACTGAGAACAGTAAAATATTAATTTGACTATGAAAACTTAAGAATGTATGATGTATCTCTAAACGACCCCCCCCCCAAATGCAAAAAGGTATTGCTTAATTTCCAAAATATGAACTTCAATGGATTCCTAATAATGTTAAATTTACTCAAAAGTAGGTAGGAAAGGAGGAACAGAAAATGAAAAACCGAATAGTCATAGGAAATAAATAATAAAATAGAAGATACAAATTAATCTATATCAATGCACACTAAATATAAATGGACTTAGCATTCTAAATTAAAAGACAGAGATTGTCAAAATGGATTAAAATGGTATTTGCTATCCACCTGATACATAATTTAAATACCAGGTACAGAGGTTGAAAGTGAGTAGATGGAAAGATATACATAACATGTAAGCAATGTGCATCAGAGGAAAGCTGAATAACAAAGTATACTTCATGACAAAAAGTACTATTGAAAAAATAGAGCTTTTATTCAAATAATGAAAGAGCCAGTTCATAAAAACATAACAATTGGGGCTGGAGTTGTGGCTCAGTGGTAAGAGTGCCCACCTAGCATCTGTGAGGCACTGGGTTTAATCCTCAGCATTACATAAAATAAATAAATAAAATGAAAGTATTGTGTCTATCTACAGCCAAAAAAAAAAAAAAAATCATAACAATCACAAATGTACATGCATGAATTTGAGTTTAGTTGTTCAGTCTTTTTGCTGAAAATATGTGAAGCAAAAAAGTGATAGAAACAAGGAAATAAATAAGCAAATTCACAATTATAGGTGGAGATTTTAACTCCTTATTCAGCCATTGAAAGAACCAAGAAAAAAATATTGATAAGGGAGAAAATCCAAACAACACTAATACTCTTTGACTTTACTGATGTTTTTCAAACCTTACATCCAACAACTACAGAACACACATTTTTTTTTCCCAAGGGCAAAAATTTTGTTCATCGAGATAGCTCACGTACTGATCCATAAAACTAGTCTTAATAAATTGAAAAGAATTGAACCAAAAAAATTTCAATCAACTCACAGGGATTCAAGCTTCAGCAATTACTAACATTGTCCATACTAACTATGATAAGGAACTTCATAAACCTGTTTCAATGGAGAAAAGAAAAGGATGTGTTTCCCAAGCCAGTTGCTTGACAAAATATTTTCTACTCAGAGAGAAGGAACAGGGACAAATGCGGCTCTACCCTACAGCAATTATATTCTATGACCTCTGGCCCAGGAAGTTATATGGCAAGTCAAAAAGACCTTTCCTTCCCTTTCCCACAAAATGTATTGAAAATAGAGTCTCTTAAATGTAAGTAAGCAATGACCTTCAGGGAGTTTTAAAAGAAGGAAACTTTGGTCCAGGGTGACCGTCGCTCCACTGCTACTTGGTCTGGTGCTTTCAGACTAGTTCATACCATACCTGAGTAGTGTTGAAAAGGCAGAACACGTAACTGAAGACAATCCTGATGTCATCATCATTAATTAGCATAAAGTATGACAGAATCCAGGTAACTCCAAAAACGACTGCAATAGATAATGTGCTAAGAATCTTCTTTAGGGATGAAACCTTCTTTGTGCTAAGTGAGAGAAAACAAGAAATAATATGTGTGTGGGTATATATATCTAGGTATATATATTTGTATATATATATATATATTATTTATCAATGTCATTATTACCCGTATTTAGCATGCATATTCAGTTACTCATCTACATTTTTTGTTTAATAGTATTATTTCTCAGTTGGAAAATCAAAGATGCTAAACCTATTTAGCAAGCTTTATTTAAAAATAACTTAATACCTTCTTAAAAGCTCAGGCAGAAACAGTTCCTCAAATACTACTGCAGGCAAATTTCACTAAGAATTAACTTTTTCATTAGAATGGAATTTAGAGTAATGGTGTCAGTGATGAATTTCTTTTATGTTTTTATTTGGTGGTGGGGGGAATAGTGATCTTTAACCTTCCTATGTTTTGATAAAATAGAAGTTACTTAGATGTGGAATGATGTTCCCTCTCATGGAAAGCCTAGATCACTGGCTTCTGCTCTTGGCCATGTGACTTACTTGGCCAGTGAAACATCAACAAATGTCAAAAGCAGAGATCTGAAAGAATTAGTTCATCAGACTATATCCTCTCTCCCTGTTCTTTGGAAACCTGAGATCACTATGTTCAAAATCCTGGATTGGTCTAATGGAGGAGGAAAGACAATAAGGAGTTGAGATGAACTTTTCCGACTGAGTAGCTGCTGCCCAGACCACCAATCATCAGACATGAAGTAAGTCATCCAAGATCATTCATCAGCATTTGAGTCAGCCAAGACCAAACAGCTACTCAGCCAACACTCAAAATTCATGACAAATAATAAATATTTTTCATTCTAAGCCATTAACTTTTGAGAAATTTGTTATGCAGCTAACTGAAATATGGAAGATAATTGGTTAAACAATTAAGTTATACGTGTTCATCATAACTAAGCCAATTTAAGAACCATCAGCTATTGGTGAGTCAAAATTTTAAAATACAAATTTGGTTGGTGTCTGTGGACCAAAAAACATATTGTTTTGTATAAAGGAAATAAAACCGAATTTGCAATTAGGCTAAGAAGACTTCACTAAAATTTTTCTGGCACTGCTACTAAAACATAGGTTTTAATGTTTAACAGTGATGGTATTTTCCCCATATTTCCCCTTACTGTTTAATAACATTCAAATAGAAAAGACCTTTAACTTGTAAAGCACATATTCAAGATTGTATTCTCACTAAATAATGGTAGTTTTCATTCATCTGTTCATACCAAGTAAATCCATTTGTGAGTTTACTGTAAATTCACAAATGTTCATACAGTAAATATACTTGGGATGAGCAGAGCCTTGCATAATTAAATCTGAACTCATAGCTTCATTAGCACTGTGTTCTAGCCAATTGGTGCTTTGGAAGTGGGGGCAGAATGTATGTGTATGACATATTCTATTCTTTGTCTCTTCAACTGAAAGCTCTTGTCTCCTATTAGAGGTAATACTGCACGTGCTTGTCAGGGCCAGAAAGGCTAGCGTAAGGAAAGGAGCAGTGAGGACAGAACTGGTAAACCAGAGAGCACAGGTTCCATCTGCAGGAAATGTGGGCTCACATTTTCCTTACAAAGTGTTGCCAGGTGTTCCCATTTTTTCAAGAGAAAATACAATTTTTAAGTGAAATCTCCCATTTTTAAAATATATTTGCAAGTAATTAAAAAATGTAAAGCCATTGTGTAATTCAAGCCATGCTGGTAAAATAAAAACTACAGGTACTGATTTATAAAATAAAAACGCAGGAAGCTACACCTCCTCACAACCCTTTCATTTCTGTAATTCAAATAATTCAAATTTCTTGAATATTTGGAGTTGGAGGGAAAAGTTTTCTTGAAAATCTTTGGGTTTAGATTTTTAGGTCTTATCTAACACAAAGGTGTGCAGTATACCCACATTGCAATACTGATGTTAGAAAATAAGAAGATACACTTTATAAGTCAAAGGTTTTAAGAAAATCTTTCCTGAACGCCACACACCCCTGCCTTTGTCTCAGAGTTTGAGCCACCCAGGCACTATCCTCGTCTTGCATGAAAGCCTCCCACTCACTGAGAATCTTACCTTGTCAAATTTTGGTTATTCTTCCACAGCACTTTAATTGTGATTACAATAAATATAACAACATTGCTGATGAGGATAATGATTGTAGGTATAAGGAATGACCACAAAAATGGACTCTTTATAAAGTCATTGTTGTTTGGAATTGCTAGCCAGCAGCTGAGAAGAAAAAAGAAATTATTTCAGCAGACCTTGAAAAGTATAAATACTTGTTCCTTGTCCTATTAAAATTATCGACCTTCACTCAACTGAAATACCTGCTAAAAGTCTGCATCTCTTTGCATCTTATTCATTTGAGATTACTTTTGAGAATTCAAACCCCTAGAAAAGTGAAGTATGGACTTCTCTAGTCATCTTTCTCTGAGTCAGTGAGGGTTAGCGGAAAGAAAGTGGACATTGGAGCCAGACAGTCCTAGTTACTCCCTGCTGCTTATGAGGTTTCTGACTTTAGGCAAGTTATTGTTTTCATTTTACTTTTGAATATATAGCTTACCCAGGAGGTTCAATATATGAAAGGTACAAGTGGACATAGATGGGCAATATTTTCAGTTACCTAATTTCAATCAATGTTTCTTATATATCCTGCCAGATTTAGGCTCCAAAAACATCCAAAAAATGCACATTTTTCCTTGATTTTTAAATAAACATCAACATCTGCTTCTAACAACTATCTTAGAGGTCATTCTATAGCAGAACACTAAAAGTACCTTCATTAATTTTATAACTGCATATTACTCCATCATTTTTATATGCCATAACTTATTTAAACAGTTTCCAATACATTGATGGACATTTTCAAATGTTAATATTTATAAAGACTTTGAGAAATTTATTTAATTTCATGGTACCTCTTTTGTTTTTTGTGGATTATTTGTTTTGTCTTTTGATGATGCAGGTTGTGGGGGTTTGTTTTGCTAAGGCATTGTTGAAATAATTAAGAAGTATTTACAGAGTCTATGCTATGCACCAGACACTATTTTAGACACCAAAGTGTTTGCAGTGAGCAAAACAAAATCCCTTCTTAAGTTTATATTGTAGTGCACAGATCTAGGTAAAACAACAAACAAATAAAATTTATGTCAGTGATAAGTGCTTTAGATAAAAGGAACAATAGGAGTAGAAATTTTATATATATATATAATCACATTTTAAATACATATATGGGGAGAGAGAGACAGAGAGAAGAATGTTTGATTTTAAATAGAGTGGTCAGGGAAAGCTGCATGGAAAAAAAGTGATACTTGAGCAAAACTCAAGAAGTAGATGAGGGGGAAGGGTATTCCAGCTAGAGGTTACAACAAGTGTAGAGACCCTGAAGTGACAGCCTAAGAAACACAGAGGCTGATGTGGCTGAGACACAGTTCATGACTGGGGTTTGTGGAAAGATTTAAATCACATAGGGGCTTTACAGGCAAATTCTTGTGCCCTGGGTAAGATGGAGAGGCATGGCCTGATCTGTTTTGAGTTTTAAAACCATTACTCTAGGTATAGGGATGCTAGAAGGGCGTGAGCAAAAGTAGGAAACTAGGAATTTACTGCAGTAAGTTGAGTGGCTTGGACCACAGAAGCAGATGCTAAGAAAAAGTCTGATTCCAGGCGTATTTAAAAGTAAGAAGACTTATTGATGGGTTGGATTTGAGACGTTGAAGAACTATAGATGACTATAATTTTTGGCCTGAGCCTCTGGAAAAATGGAATTACCATTAAATGAGATAGGAAATATGATGAGATGAGCAGGTTTGGGAGGGAAGACAAGGAGATGTCTATTACACAGCCAAGCAGAGTTGTCAGGTAGGCAGTTTGAAAAAGCCGAGCCCACAACTGGCATTAAATTAACATTTATTTTCTTTCTTTTGGAAGTACAGCACCATTATTATATATGCCAAAGTATTTCTAAATTTTTTTGTATTGAAATGTTATTATTCACATGATTAGAAATCACATTTCAAATCTGAATAGCCTCCTAGGAAACTCAAATGACGTTCAAGTTTCTCTAATGAATTTTAAAAATTAAAAGGCATGCCTGCCTCTAACAGATAGAATAGGTCCACTCCTAAATACAATGGTGAGAACGAGAAAAAATGTTTCCAGGACTTCTAGCTTCCCTTTTCATTCCCCTATGACTGGAGGACAAAATTCCTCCCACTTCCCACCTCACAAACCCATACACAGAAGAAATCTGAAGGCTCTTGGCTTAGAAGTTAATAAAATCCTGATGAGAACTACTTTCAAATCTCTAGAAACCTCTGGCAACTAAGCATGTGGCTATTAAATTTTTTCAAAAGAAAGGCGGGCCTATTTCTTTTCTAGGCAAGCTTGAGAAATAGAATTTAAAAGGGAGGGAAAGACAGAGAAAGAAAATTGTCAATTCAGCTCTGTTGGATAAAGGCAGACTTGCCAATCCTGAAACAGCTATTTAGACTTTAGAAAATACAAGTTTTCAGAATTTCTATTTGTACTGGCGCCAGAGTGGGAGGTGAGGGAGGAGTGTGTGTGTGTGTGTGTGTGTGTGTGTGTGTGTACCTATTGTATTTAGGCGTAGACCTATTCTGTTGGAGGCAGACATACCTTTTAATTTTTAAAATTCATTAGAGAGACTTGAACATCATTTGAGTTTCCTACAAGGCTATTCAGATTTGAAATGTGATTTCTAATCATGTCGATAATAACATTTCAGTACAAAAATTTAGAAATCCTTTGGCATGTATAATAATGGTGTTGCACTTCCAAAAGAAGTGTGTGTGTACATGAATGCACACATCTATCAGACTCCCAAGGAACCTCACACTTAAGGGGGTGCTAGAAGAGCCATGCACTTTGGTATCCATGTCCATCAGGAGGCATGCATTAGGAGGGGACCCTTACCTCCTCTATCCTTTGCACTACTTGGAGCAAAAGGTAGTCAAGCTAGATTTGTTCTCACAACACCCCATCTTTGCTATTCTGAATTGAATGATTCAGATTTTGAGAAATTGATGGCTAAGAAAGGGTATGGATTCTAGAATGAGACTAACCCTTATAGTTATGGAGTGGGGTTCCTAAAAATAAGATTGGAGAGTCACAAGATGGAGGTTGATCTGAAAAAGTTAAGGACCTGAGATCTAGACAGCATCAGAGGTGAATCTCAGGTGAAGTGTGAAATTTTGCCATGAATGTCGGGGGGGGGGGGAACCTTTAACATTTAGAGCAGATACTTGGAAAATTTACCCCCAAGTTGGTATAATTTCTCATGGTTAGCCTCAACCTTTCCCTTTAAGAGAGTCTGAAAGCGCCCATGTGGTGGTAGTATAGAGAAGTAGGTAGCAGAGTGTTAAAAGGAAGTGTGGCCTGCTCTGCATTCACCCCTTCACTGTGCCAAGCAGAAAGAGCAGTAGATCAGGGAGACGGTCAGGCTCTCAGGCAGGACCAGCAGAGCTGGGAGCAAGGAAGAACAGCACAGAACACTGAAAACCACTACTGGGAGACCAAAAACAATTCCTCCCCTTTTCCCAGCATATCCTAAAGAAATGCGACCTGTGATGGTCTGTGTATAGGGTAGAAGGTGGGGAACAAGGGCTGAAGATGGACTGAGTACATGTTACACACTCTTTCCTCCTCCCGACTTCTCCTATCATCAGTCACTTAGTGTTGTCCCCAACATCTAACACTGTACTCAAGAAAGGATCTGCTCTTTATTATTTACAGTCCAATGTGAATAAATTTACATTAATTGGCTAATTTCTCCAGATAGCTTTAACAAGAGTGGTTGAGACCTATGCCTGCGCTAAGGTAGGAAATTAACAATGTAATCGAAAGTGAATTACCTCCCTTATGAGATAACTGCATATTATCCCTTATCTCTAGTTGTGGAATTAAAAATTTAAAACTCTAAAAGATATTGGACCCTATTTAAACAAAGAGAAAAATAGTGTCTGGGAGTGTGAGATCTGGCCAGGCAGCCAGCCGCCTCCTCTGCAGCTGGCATGGCCAGGTCCCTGAGCCGCAGTCTCCTCTTGGGTGTTCTTCTACACTTTCCAGAGTCTGGTTCTAATATGAGTTGGTTTGAAACTTAAGGTGGAATCTGAGGATAATAATGGTTGGATTTATAAAATGGGAAGGAAGGATAAATTAATGAGTTCTTGCCATTCAGTAATAGAAATGCATGTAAAGAGTTGACTCTCAGTTCAGCTCAGCTTTCTTCTCTCCCTCCCCACATAAAAAGCAAACACCATACAGCCAAGTACTTTCACTATAAACAGTTAATTATTCATGCTGAGTCATGCTTGACCACTCACAGTAATACTAGAGCACTGTCACTATTATTGTGATTTCCATTTTCTAGATGAGGAAACAAAGAAACGGAGTTACTATGGATCATAACTATTGTGCCACATGATTTTCATACCTAATGAAGGAACGTAAACCTCATATAAGCGAGTTCAGATTTACAAAGTTAGAAGTTGATTGCTTCCTTTATGAAAGAATTTAAACTAGGAAATGTCCATGCTGCCTCATTAAAAATATAATGTTCTTTGAGACAATATGACAATTATAAAGTGAGATACATTTGTACAGGGACATATGATGAGTCACCATCTATTGAAGAAATGGACATTTTAAAAAATATATAAACTCACATTTCCTCTTGCCGGTAGTCTAATTCCCAGTGTGAATTACTCCCACTCTGGGAATAAATAATTCCCACTGTAATAGCCACTACTATAGCTGGCACTCCTGTGTGACAAAGAGAGGCACAAGATTAATAATTTATCCAATACTGGGATTAATTACAAAATATCATGAATGAATTAGACATCAGACCCTCTTCAGGATGCATTGTTCTTTCCACTGTGGACAATACACTGATCCACAAATGCAGGTCATCAGTATTCGTAATTTTTCTGAGCTTTCTTTTCTCTTTTAGTGTTAGCTGTACCTACCAATCCTATACTATTTCTGATTTCTTTGTAGCTCTTACCACAATATCCATCATAAATGGCTTAATTCCTCTTTCATTTGAATAAATTGAAATTTGAATATCACTAAAACAATTATTTCTGCTAACTTAATAAACTTTTCAAATAATTATTCTTAAAGGATCACTCTGATTATCTTTCTTGAAACGTTTCTTTCAAAGTAGCTGGGAAATTAACTATTCATGGACTACATCTCAAATACATTAATAGATATTTTTTAAAAATTAAGTTTTGAGTTACTGATGATGTATCTAGTATACTTATCTTCATCATATCTACTTCCTTCACTGGAGTGTAAACCTCTAGACAGAGAGAATTCTTAGTGATTGCTCTATTTTCTACTCCCCTTCCTCAAAGTCTTAAAATATTAGACTTTCAAAAGGTGTTCATTTAAATTAAATGGTTGCATCAAAATTGCTTATCCCACTGAATAAGTGGAGATACAAGCACTTACCCCATCCAATTAATGAGATGAAAATAATGAAATGTGGAGGAAGAGGCTTCATGGCCCTGATGAGAAGGAAATAAAGCTGTGAAGCACTGAGTCCACTCCAGGTAAATGTGGCTAACAGAAAATAGTGCAGGAAGGCAGCAATCACTGTGCATGAGGGATTCGGGATTTCAATAGTGTCCTCTGTGAGCATTTGATTATCATCAAAGTCAATATCTATGTCACTCTCTCTTGTATTCAAGTTTTTATTGGAGTTTTCAATACCAAACACAAAAATCAGGTTGAATATCAACATCGATGTGCACAGACTAACCATCACCCAGGTGACTGAGGTTTTTCTGACTTTCCTAAAAATAAACAGTAGAAATGATTAAATGAAAGTAATACAACTCCAAGAAAAATAAACACCAGTGAAATTGTGAAGAAGTAAAGGGATATTATTACCCACTGTAAATCCAACTCGTAGCTCAACTCACAGACCAGCTGGTAAATCTACCTTCCTAATTGCACCAGAAAAACATGGTGTGTTCTTTTCTCATTCCTACAAAGTAGTGAGTTACAGGGAACAGGTTGATGCATCCTTTCTTGAAACTGTGCTGATTAAAAATTGTCAGTCTGTTTTCTGTCACTGTGACAAAATACCTTATATGAATCACTTAAAAGGAAGAAAGACATTTATTTTGGCTCTTGGTTTCAGAGGTTTCAGTCCATGGCCAGAGGGCTCTACTGCTTTTTTTGTGGGGGCAGGGTGTGTACCACAGTTGAACTCAGGGGCACTCAACCCCTAAGCTACATCCCCAGCCCTATTTTGTGTTTTATTTAGAGGCAGGGTCTTACTGAGTTGCTTAGCGCCTCAACATTGCTGAGGCTGGCTTTGAACTCGTGATCCTCCTTCCTTAGCTTCCCCAGCCACTGGGATTGCAGGCCTGCGCCACTGCGCCCAGTGGTTCTACTGCTTTTAAGCCTGTCGTGAGGCAGAACCTCATAGTAGGGAGAGCATAATGAAGTAAAGAGAGAGGAAGAGTCTGGAGTCCCAGTATTCCCTTTCAGGTCATGCTCCCAGTGACCTACTTACTTCAATTAGGCCTCACTTTCTTAAAATATATATATATATTTCATTCTTAGGTAGACTAAATACTTTTTATTTATTTATTTATTTATTTATTTATTTTTATGGGTTGAGGATTGAACCCAGCATCTCACATGTGCTAGGTGAGCGCTTTACCACAGAGCCACAATCCCAGCCCTAGGCTTCACTTCCTAAAGCTTCTACTACCTCCCAATAGCACCAACAGCTAGGAACCAAGCCTTCAATATATAAACTTTTCCAGGACATTTTAGGTCTAAACTATAACAAAAGCAATACTTAATCTCCAAAACTGGCTCCCAGTGAACCCTAATTCCAGTGTTAAATGCCCTGTGTAATTTCTCCCAGACCTGCCCTCTATCTTGATGTAACTAATACATCCAAGAATCAAGAATACAACAGAAAGCCTGGCAGCTGGGATGGGCTTATCCATTAGGCACCATAATGCTTTGGGTCCACAATAATTTCATGGCCCATAACAAAGTTTTAACTTTGGCTCTGTGGTAGAGCACTTGCTTACCATGTGTGAGGCACTGGGTTCAATTCTCAGCACCACATATAAATAAATAAAATAAAGATCCATTGACAACTAAAAAATATTCAAAACAAAGAAAAAAACTAGAAGAAAAAAAGCTAGGTGTGTTGGCGTATGCCTGTAATCCCAGTGACTTGGGAGGTTGAGGCAGGAGGATAGTAAGTTCAAGGTCAGCCTCAGCAACTTAGTGAAGCTCTAAGCAACTTAGCAAGACCCTGTCGCAAAATAAAAAAAAAAAAAATTAAAAGGACAGGAAATGTGGCTTAGTGGTTAAGCGCCCATGGGTTCAATTCCAGGTAACAAACAAACCAGAAGCACTTTTAGGTAGATTCAAAAATTTTAATACATTCATCTTATATCAAAGCCATCATAAAATACACAAGTCATAACCCAGCATCCTGAGAAATTTTCCTATTGCTCTCCTTGGCATTCTGAGACACCACAGAAAAGGCTCAGCGGCCATACTGAAGAAACTACATGGAGCTGCTCTGAGTACATGGAAAGGGAGAAAGATTCAGCTGCCCCAGAATCCAGGGTGAGCTTCCAGATGAATTGGCCCCAGCCACCATCTGACATCAGTCTCCTGGAAGACCCAGCAAGACTAGCAGAAGAATCATCCAGGCAACTAGGCAAGCCACAGAATCATTAGTGAGAATAAATTATTATTCTAAGCCACTTAGGTTTAGGGATTTGCAAGCATACATAAAGGCTATATAGAAAAGATTCTAAATGGAGTTTTCTGTTTCACAATATAGAATTACACATTAATACATAAACACATGTTTATTTGCATTCAGACAAGTCTCTTGAGTTTTTAATGGTAGCTTATTTTTAAAACTCACACATTTTAAAATAAAGCCAAATATAATTTTAAGTAAGTATAAACATGTGATTTGTTTAAAACAAGATTATGTAATATTTAGCTTATGTTTCATTTAAAGAACGAGGCTTCCATAAATATTTTAAATCAGGCAAAAATATTTTAAATTTGTTTCATGGCCTATTGCTGTATATGCTATTCTTTAGATTTGAGTAGCCTGATGATCACTAGCTCTTTGAATGGCTTATACATAACAAAATTCCATGTGTCTTTTCTGCAAGACTTCTCAGAACCCTCTTTCCCTAAGTGTCTCTGAAGGACTAATGTTCCAAGGACTATACTTTGAGAAATTTTTGCTTATTGTCAAATGGTCAAGATGTTCTGAACAGTCCTTTTACTATAAAATATGCCCAAGAACTGTTCCTTCATTAAAGATATAATTTCTGGGAACAGAACTAAATGCTCTTCAAAACTCCTTTTATTCCCGCCTTATATTTACCTGATGCCTTTGCTCTAAAAGAAAAGTTTTTTTTCTGGTTTTGTCTGCAGGATGTCCTTGTTTACCAGTAACTTAGAAGGCAGTGTGTGTGTGAGAGAGAGATGTGCTGTGTGGTGTGCTATGTTGGGGATAGGGGTACGTGTGGTGTGGGACATGTAAGTGTTCTGTGCTGGCCCACATGTGCATCTTCAGATTGGCAGAGAAAGCAAGATTTCCCTTAAAAAAGTTGATTTCAAAAGCAATGTATGATATTGTCTTTACTATGCATTTATTATTTTCCTTATTGTTTAATAAAGAAATATGTATACAACTCTGTGTATGCTAGTAGACTGTGGGATACAGTTCTATACTAGTGAAAATGATAAAAATCTCTGCTCACTACTATCTGAAAGCCTTCTGAATTTTCCAGACTGCTGCGCCCCTCCCTTGACTCAGGCAATGGCAAGGCCCTACTGAGGTGGATGGCTGGCGCAAGGCGTCCATCCTCTGGAGGAGCGCAGTATGTTTCTGGGAATGGGCTGGTTTGTTTTTGTATTCCTTTAATAAGTATAGTTGCGATTTCCCATATGACCATTAAGTATGAAGGAAAAAACATGACTTTCCCAATTAATGCAACTACTTCTAAAGAATGGATCTGTTTGCTCTAAATGCAGTGATTCAGCTGTGGAGTGTAAATTGTTAATGTCTAATGAAAAACTCCCTGTATTCCTGTCAAGGAAGTTTTTGAGAAATTAAATTAAAATCTAGAGAAGAAAAATTAAGACAGATTAGTGCTTAGCACTGGGCAACTTGTTCTTGTTCCTGTGCACAATGGTTTGTGCTCTTACTCTTGTTTGATTAAAATTAATAACAAGTCAACCTCTTGCCGTAACCATGGCACCGGTTCCAGTCAGTAAGTCAAGAAAGAATAGTCAAGGTATAGGCCAATAGTTTGGGACATTTCTAACTATTATTAAAAGTTAACTAAGCAGAAACAGCTCAAAGCAAAACACGAACCGAAAGTACAAATGCTTGCTTATGCCTAAGCCAAAAGACATTCTTCTATTCTAATTGTAGCTACGTAATATTTTGTTTCTTTGAATAATGATTCCTGTTTTGTAACCACAAAGTACTGTGAGCCTGCCAAAATAAAAAGTATATATGATCAACTTCACAAGTAAAGATTGGGATCAGCACCTTCACTTTGGTGTCTGTGTTGTTTCTCCACCCCCCTTTCGCTGACTCTTCACCATCCGTTCGTCTCCTGAGACCCCCTGTTGGAGCTGGTCTCCGACACCAGACTACCAGTTCTCTTCATATAGCTGTTTCCCTAGATTTACTACTATCCTTAAATTTATAACATCTACAAGTACCTCTCTATTCTCAATGTCTCAGAATTTGGTGAACATGTCTGTTTGTCTATTATATATCCTGTATGAATTTATGAAGTTCCACTATAACCTCTCAGATTTGGATTTTTACACTGAATGAAAGGTTTATATCCAAACATAACCCAATCCATTCTCTTGACATTTTAGTTGAGATTTCCTCAATGAGTCAAAACATCTTTTGAAAAGTCAAAACAAGTCTTTTGAAATGTTTAAAAATTAAAACTGCAAAAGCACACAAAAATCATTTTCTACAAAAGCAAGCTTAGTTCCTAAATTCTATCTAATTTTGAAAGTAAAGTATAATCCACAGGAAAACAGGAAATTTTCAAATAGTCTGGCCTTCTTATAGAATATTAGCATATTTTATGTAAATTATTAAATGATGACATGTCCATGAGCAGAAAAAAATGATTTGATTCAAGAGTTTTAAACATCAATAAAATTTTGTCATTATTTTTGTTTTTGTTTTCTGATGAATTTTAGTGGCATTGTGCGAGAATTGTGCAAGGAAATGTTAAAGGAAGAAAAATTCTGATGGTAAATGTAAGTAATGATATTCAGGCAAAGAAACCAGTGACAAATTCATAATTCCATAGCATTGTCCTTCCAGGCACTTGCTACAATTTGTAACTTTATATTTATTATTGTGCATGTTTGCAATCTGCCCCTCAAGAATCTAAGCTTCATGAGCAATGAGAGCTTATCTGTCTTGTTCCTAGTTTTATACTCAGCTTTGGCAAAGTGATTGATGCATAGTAAGCTGTTGATAAAAAAAATTTTTAAATGAATGGCAAGACACTCATTTAATATGAAAGGAGAAGAATAAGAATTAAAAGCAATTCTATATTCTGGAGAAATGGCTGGTTCCAGTGTGAAGCCAAGAGAGTGAAAGATGAGACATATCATCTTTCTGTGATTGAAATAAGGAAGTTTATACTAAAGACTGACCGAGACGTGACAACACAGCATAAGAAGTTCTCCCAGCTGGCTGCCCTGGGGAGCATGCACATCTTTACAAAAGAGTTTAGCAAATCAACATAGAAAGAATGACAGACTAGAAAAATCATAGATTTTCAATCACTAATGCAATCATTTGTTTTGTTAAGGATAAACAATGGAGTTAAAGATTATTGGGAAAAAGAACACTGCACATTCTTAAGGCAGTTCCTCGTGGATTACTGATCATTGACATACAGGAGAAAATGAGCCTTGACAATATAGATATCTGGCAGCCACTACTTTAAACAAGGCATTTCTTAGGAAATATGTGCTTGAAGAATTCAGAGATGACAGCCATGATGTATACAACTTACTTACTTTGGAAATTCAGGAAAAAAAAATTTTAAAAGATAATGCAAAATATTAAGAATTAGTGAATCTAGGTGACATCTATATGGGTGGTCAACATTTTCTTTCAACTTTTCTGTAGGTTTTAAAATTTTTTTTTAAAGAAAACAACATGAAAAAGTCAAAACAGCAATAACTTTAAAAAAAAATCTGACTCTACACATCTAAGAAAACACTTGGGAGTGAATTGAATGGAGAGAAGGGATTCCAAAGGAAAGATGAATTAATCTTGAGACATTTTCAGTTTGCCAGGAGACCTAGATAGGAATGCCCAATAGATCCATTCTTCAGATACAGCTCTACTATCAGCCAATTACATGCACAGGGGTACAGAGATGGAAACAAAGCAAAGCAAACAATGACAGCAACGAAACTAGAGGAGGTCCCTGTCATACATTCCGATGCCAATGAGGAAAACAGACAGTAAACAAGTAAATAAATAAATGAATAATCTTATAAGAGATTACAGATTATAAAAAAAAATAACAAAAGGCATGCAAAATTGAACACTGAGTGAGGGAGCTAAGGTGGAGGGAGAGATGTTCACCATTCGAAAACTTAGTGTATTTTTAAATTATCTTATTTTCAAAAACTTGCTGTTCAGAGACTTTTTTTCCTTTACGATGCAAATTAATAGACGTGGTTCTACTCAACACTAAGGAAGTGTGGCATTTGTGAGTTGTGGGACCACATAAATTTTACATGACATAGTTGTAATTATATGGGATGCAATTTTCTTTCAAGGCACTTGCCACCTTTGTAGTTATATTTTTTGAGCATGTATCCCTTAGCCTCTCCTGGTGTGAATGTCTTCTTCTTAAAATGAGCATGTTGAACTGAGTTCCCTTCCAGTTCAGAAAGACTGCATTCACATGAGACTATGCAGAGTTAATTGTATATGATTCACAATTTCCCTTATAAGCAGCACCTTCTTTTCCCTTACCTGGTGACAATCTGAAAGATAATTGTGAGAGCCAGACCAGTAATGGACAGGGCACATCCAATGTTGGACAATATGTCTAGTGACTCAGGATACTTATAATCCTTTTTGAAAGTCTGAAAGATAAATCGACTAATATTTTAAAATAGCCATCTCCAAAATGTCAATAGAAGTCAATCACAAACAGTTAAGTGGATACAAAATAATCAGAGTTGCCAGATATCTCTTCTTTTCATACAACCATTGATAAATTTTTAAATGAAATAAATTAGCCTCTTACATCCAAATAATTTACATGAAGCAGAGACTTGCTTTTATCAACACTTCTCCTTTCAGTCTTAACACTCCATACCCTGATTTTTCTATTTAATCTAAGGTGAGACTCTACATAAGCTAAAACCCAAAGTCAATTCCAATTAGCACCTACCAAAATTGTGTGTATGGAAAATTCTCATCTATTAAGAGATTACGAGGTGCATCCTTACCATCAACACAGCAAAGTTAGTGGTATGGTTGCAGCGGCAGCCCAGGAATCCATCAGTACCCTTGTCTTTGTAACAACCATAGGTATCCCAATCTTTTGTTAAAAAATTCCAGTAAACACAGGCATAGGCATGCAGTTGGTATTCTTTTTGATACTGTGAATTGACAGAACAATTACAATTACTGATATTTTAATGATCAATTGAAAAAAAAAAATCTAACAACAGCCAGGCACATTGGCATATGCAAGGCCTGTAATCCCAGTGGCTCTGGAGGTGGAGGCAGGAGGATTGCAAGTTTAAAGCCAGCCTCAGCAACTTAGCAAGGCTGTAAGTAATTTAGTGAGATCCTGTCTCAAAATAAAAATAAATAAATAAAAAGGGCTGGGGACGTGGTTCAGTGTTAAGCACTCCTGGTTCAATCCCTGGTACAAAAAAAAAAAAAAGATAATTATAACAAAAATCACATATGTACTTAGCATTTTTATTATAGATTGCAGAGGGAAACTATATAAAATTCAAATTACCTAACTTTGTATTTAGCTAATTTGATAAAAGATTAGGTGGAAGAAAGATTTAAATTAAATGAATAGTTTGAAAAATCTTTCAAAAATATTTTTTTGTAGATTTTTTTTTAATATTTATTTTTTAGTTGTAGGTGGACACAATATCTTTATTTTATTTTTATGTGGTGCTGAGGATCAAACCTAGGACCTCGCACGTGCTAGGTGAGCGCACTACCACTACCATACCACTGAGCCACAACCCCAGCACCTGTGGATTTTTTTTTAAACCAAATTATGCCTGCTTTTGTTATCAAGAGTGGCCTGAATTTTCTATTTTTGTAACCAGGATCACTCACCTTTGGGCTAAAGACCATTTCAACAGAAAGAGTCTGATCTTGATCATTTTCATTCACTTTGCTTGAGATAATTTTTTGACTAAAATTTGATTTAGCTGTAAAGGTTTTTGATTGAAAAAGCTTATTGTTTTGATATAGTACAAAGCCACATGCCTTAGTACCTGTGGGAGAGACAATAAAAACATTAAAAAAACTCTAGGGCAAACAAGAAAAAGAATTCCATGTCATTGCTGAACTGCATGGTTACTTAATATGTGAGTCAGGTATAGTGGATCCAGTTGCGTCTGAGCCTTTATTTAATTGCAATAGTTATTGTGATATTATGACATACACATTTTGGTTGTCATCCATGGTTCCTGGCTCTTAACTCCCTATCCAAGACAGTCATAGAAACTAGAATTTTCTCTTCCCAAGATGAGTCACATAAATGCTAGTTTTCCTCCACCTTTCTATCTCAGAGCTGGCCATCAAGAAATTCTCTGACCTATTTGATCTGATAGATCATAAGACCCCCATTTCAGAGAGGGTCCTGCTCCAGACCCAAGAAGAGAGGAATGCTGCACAGCGGAGCCAAGAGGAATCTGAACAGACAGACCTCCCTGGGTTTCCCTACTCCGTCTATTAGTATTAGATCCTGGACATTCACATCTCTATACAGTTGTTCACACTTCAATAATGCCTGTGCAATTCCTTACATCTACTCTACTCATCTTTCTTCTATTTTGATGAAATTCCCTCTCCCCCTTTTTTCCTTTCCTTCTCTCTTTTATTTTCTATACTTCCCTACCCCTTATTTTGGATTATTATTATTATTATTATTACATGTCACAGAAAACATTTGATCTTTGACTTTTGGGGACTATCTTATTTCACTCAGCATGATAGTCTCTAGTTTCATCCATTTACCAAAAAATGCCATAATGTCATTCTTCTTTATGCTGAATAATACTCCACTATGCATATATGTCACATTTTCTTTATCCACTCATCTGTTGGGGCACCTACATTGGTTCCATAGCTTGGTTATTGTGAATTGTACTGCTATGAACACTGATGTGGCTGCAATACTGTAGTATACTGATTTTAGATCTTCTGGATATATACCAAGCAGTGGTGTAGCTGGGTCACATGGGGGTTCCATTCCTAGTTTTTTGAGGAATCTCCACATGCTTTTTAGAGTGGTTACACCAATTTCAAGTTCTGCCAAAATTTTAATTATTATTATTTGCCATAATGACTGGTATGAGATGAAATGTCAATGTAGATTTCTCTCATTGCTAGAGATGTTGAAATTTTTTTCATATATTTGTTGTTGCAATGCAAAGGTGGCCATGAGACCAGTCTGTTCAGCCATGTGATTTGAGTGGGAGCTCAGCAAGGCTCTCACAGCCCCCAGGTGTGCTCCTCTGCCTGCCATGTTGTCCTAGCCTCCTCTTGGAAAGAAACACGTGGATTTCCTTTTGCATGGCACATTGACTCTCACCAAATTGTTCTTCATGGACACTTGATGACATAGTGTACCCTAAAAATGCAATGTTATGGCGTACTTGGCATGAAATTCAAAAAAACTTAAAATCAAAAACTCTAAGTAACCCAATCAATAAATGGGAAAAGGACTAAACAGACCCTTCCTTCTCAAAGGAAGAAATACAAATGGTCAACAAACAGAAAAAAGTAATAGCAATGAAAGGAATCTTTCATATGCGCATGCATCGATATGGCAGGGTGGGTCCCAGCATATGTCCATAGGGAACTAATTAAGAAAAAAAAAAGTAAAAGGTAAATAGGTTGAAAATCAATCAGAGGGTAAATACTGGGGACTGAATTGGAGAGGGTTATGTCCCTTGTTTTTGTGATAATGTTAGGTTATATCCTGGTGTTGTACATAACTAAAAAGAATTTAAAAAATAAACAAATGAGAGTCCCTATTCATCCTTTTCCTCAATCCTACAAGAATTTATGAGATAGTTGTTGTTTTCATAGATACTCAGATTCATTAGAAAAAAATAACATTTATGCTTATCTTGTAATTCTAAAAAATCTCCACGATTTTAGATATTCTTTTTTCAAGTTTTCCTCCTCTCTCTTTCTCTGTCTCTTCTCCCTTCTTTGATCAACTTTATCAGAGCTTGTTTATTTTATTAGTCTTTTCTTGTAATCAATTTTTCATTTTGTTGACCAAGTCAAACATTTGCTAACTTCTATTTTTCTTCATTTCTTTACTTTGTTCACTTCCTATTGATTGTGATAGATCATTTTCATTAATTTTCCAGTAACTTGCAATCCATATTTTAATTTCCTCTCTAATGATGATGTTTTAAGTGTTCTAATTGGATCTAATTTGTGCTACTCTTTATAGTTCATTTCTAGTTTTGTTGCATTGTAATCAGGTACAATGTGTTATGTAACTTATTTTATAAAATATACAAGTTTTTCTTTGTAATCTAATAAATGGTCATGTTTTGAAGGACTCTCTAGACACTTAAAAAGAATTTTTGTTATCTGTTTTCTCTCTAAAAATAAAGTTAAACATACATGGAAATATATTAAATTATTGAGATTACTCTCTTTTTTGGTGTACTTGATTTTCAGTTTGTAGGATAATTGCACGAAAATTTCTCCTCAAAATAGTGTTTTGGTAAATTCCAGCTGTTTTTTCAATAATTTTTGTTTTTTTAACCTTTTAATTTTTTTAGGGAGGTAAAGAATCAAAATGTAGATATTTGGGAAATTCGTATTTTTAATCAGAATAAAATATGTTCAGAGTGGATGGGGAAATATTGGTCAAAGGATACAAAATTTCAGTAAGAAAAGAAGAATAAGTTCAAGAGCTCTATTGTACAATATGGTGATTATAGTTAATAAAAGTGTATTATATTCTAGACAAATGCTAAGAGAGTAGAAGTATTCTAACCACAAAGTTGACAATTATATGAGGTTATACATATGTTAATTAATTGGATTTGATTGTTCTACAATGATACCTATTTCAAAACATGTTGTATGAGTACACACAACCTTATCTGCAAAATTTTTGAAATGTTCCTTTCAGTTCAATCTGGGATTCTTTTAATTTTTCCCCCAGTACCATGGATTGAACCCAAGGGCATTTAATCACTGAGCCGCATCCCCAGTCCTTTTAAATTTTTGTTTTAAAATATTGGAACAGGGTCTCACTCAATTGCTTAGGGCCTTAATAAGTTGCTGAGGCTGACTTTGAACATGTGGTCCTCCTGCCTCAGCCTCCTGAGCCTCTTTTAAATTTTTAACTTATTCAACTATATTGCTTATTTGTATGGAATAAAAAATTAGATTTCCATCTTTCACCAAACACAAAAATAAATTCTAGGTACACTGAAGACTTAAACATAAATATAAACACTAAAAATATTCAGGATAAAAAGGAAACTGCAATAGTGACAATAGAATGGGAAAAAATTTTTCTTTGAAAAAGACAAAAGACTGAGGCTGTAGCTCAGTGGTAGAGTGCTTACCTAGCATGCACAAGGCCCTGGGTTCAATTCCCAGCACCACAAAACAAAACAAACAGAAAACACAGAGTACACATCATAGAGGAATAGATTGATGTATTCATACATTATAAATTAAAATATTGGATGGTAAAAGACACACACACACACACACACACACACACCTCAAAGAATTAGTATTCAGAAACCATAAAGAATTTCTAACAACCCAAAATTTCAAAACAAATAGAATCCACATGAAAAATAATCATTCTAATAGTCACAGAATAAGAAATCTGAATGTTTGACAAATACATGGAAATATGCTCAGATCAAGGAACAGAAAAAAACATGTGATTGTCAAGCCAAAGTGACTCCATTTTGTTTTGTAACTCCATTTTGTAAAACAACCATGCCAAGTAGAAGGGTCATGACCAGGGCAAGATGTTCTTTTCCTTTTGCAACAGAAACCTTTAAGAACACGGAACTACCTAATGGGGCATTGTTTCTGTAACTAGGGTAACAGAGCTCTGTTTCTGTAACTGGGGTGACTGGACTAATTGTGATTGGCTAAACATCCCTCCACCTGACTGCACTCTCCCACTTCTGTAACTTGGCTTGCTTGCATTGGCTAGACCCCAAACATCCCTTTTTGGGTTTTCAGGCTTATAAGGAGCGCCCTTGCAATTGTTCGGGGCTGATCAGGGGAACAGCTTTGTGTTCTGGTCAGTCGCCACCTGTGTACTTCAATAAAGGCTTGAATTCAATAATATGTGAGTGGTCTGGAAGTCAATTTATGAAACCCCAGGACGATGCTTTAATTATAACAAACATACCATTGAACTTTCAAGCTGCAAAAAGAAAATAACAGTATCTGTTTTACACTCATCATATAGGCAAAGTTAATAAACTTGCTAACACATACATGGATTGAGTTCCAAAAAAGGTAGCAAGTTTAAGAAAGTGGGTCTGGGGCTATGGTTCAGTGGCAGAGTGCTTGCCTAACATGTGTGAGGCACTGGGTTCCATCCTTAGCACCACATAAAAATAAACAAATAATATAAAGTCATCTACAACTCACAATTTTTTTTTTTAGTTTTAAGAAAGCAAGATCCATACAACATAATACCATTTATGTAAATATTAAAACATCTCCAATAGTAAGAGATATCACTTATTTATCCATAAACATGCAGCAAACATTTGAAGACAACCATGAAAATGATATGCACCAATTTCAGAAAGATGTAATTTGTGGGAAGGAGAGAGAAGAAGGAGCAAGGTAGAGGATGATAATACCTTTTCTTTTTCTTTCTTTCTTTTTTCCCTTCTTTTCTTTTTTTTTTTAAAGGTCTGAAACAAATACAGTTGGCCATCCATATCTGAGCTTCCATATCCTTAGATTTAACCAACCACAGATTTGAAAATATAGAAATTTTACAGAGGAAATACTAAGGAATGATATTGGCCAAATTATTTTTATTATATTGTGTGCATATACAAATATGTAATAATAAATCCCACCATTATGTTGTAATTATAATGCACCAATAAAAAAATGTTGAAGAAAAACCTGCCAAACTAGGAAAAAAATCTATTTTAAAATTGCATCAGACTTTTTTTTTTTTTGGTCAAACACCACAGTATAACAGCTATTTACACAGAATTTAGATTGTATTAGGTAATTTGGAGATGATTTAAAGCATACAGGAGGATACAGGTAGAGTACATGCAAATACTCTACACCATTCTGTAGAAGAGATTTGAGCGTCCCAGATCTTGGTATCCTGAGATACCAATTCCGCACAGAAACTGAGGGATGACTCTGTTTACCTTGCTGAACGGTACATAGGTGCTCCTTACGTTATTTTCTGCACTTTTATGTACGCATGAAATATTTTAAATTTGAATAAGAAACACAAAAAACAGAAGACTTAAATTTAGCTTCCACCCTCATAAACATAATGGCCAAAGAAAATGGGAGCAAAATTATAATTCAGCATGCCAGATTCACAAAACAATATTTTTGCCCTTTTCAGTTCTATTAAGAATATATTCTTTTTAAAATATGTACTTTGGAGAGGGAACTGTGACCACGCACAGAGCAGGCCCAGCGGCCTGCTGAGGGGCAGAGCCGCCCCCCACCCC